AGCAGGAGTACCTCCAGGCCTATGAAGACGTGCTGGAGAGATATAAAGGTACCGGGCACACTGGACGATCGGAGCTGGGAGAAGGGCACTCACCTAAAATAGCCGCACACAGGCAGCCAGCGAGTGTCAGTTACTGCAGATAAGGCAGCAGCAGCAGAAAGCAGCACACAGCCTTCCATAATGGGCATAGGATGCATGACACTGATTCTTCACCATCACCAGCATCTACATACATACACTGCACATGGCTGTCATACAGTGGAGGAGCACAGCCAGCACCAGGGATACCTCTGTGCATTGCCCCATAGCAGATCTCTTCATCCTAAACTTCTAATTGTCCATACAGATCAATGGCAGAATCTGGAGAAGCTGTGCACGGCAACCAATCTGCTTCTAGCTTTCATTACCAAAGCTTAACTGAACAAGCTGAAGCTAGAAGCTGATTGGCTACCATGCACAGTTGCTCCAGATTCAGCCTGCTCCACTTTACAGCCTATAGATATGTTCTGCTTTGATTGTGACATTGTTATGTTTTGGTTTTATTGCCAAAGCTTAATTGAACAAGCTGAAGTTAGAAACTGATTGGCTACCATGCACAGATTCTGAGTGCCCCAGCTTTAGTAAGTCTCCCCCACAGGCTATAAATATGTACCGCGTTCTTGGTGACATTGTTATGTATTGGATTTGTAGTGATCAGTCCAGATCTATGGCACACCCAGGGTTTTTTTACTAAAACCGGAGTGTAAAATCTGATGCACATCTGCATAGTGACCAATCAGCTTTCAGGTTTTGTTGCCAAAGCTTAACTGAACAAGTTGAAGCTAGAAGCTGATTGGCTACCATGCACCGTTGCTCCAGATTCAGCCTGCTCCACTTTACAGCCTATATGTATGTTCTGCTTTGATTGTGACATTGTTATGTTTTGGTTTTATTGCCAAAGCTTAATTGAACAAGCTGAAGTTAGAAACTGATTGGCTACCATGCACAGATTCTGAGTGCCCCAGTTTTAGTAAGTCTCCCCCACAGACTATAAGTGTGTACCGCGTTCTTGGTGACATTGTTATGTATTGGATTTGTAGCGGTCAGTCCAGATCTATGGCGCACCCAGGGTTTTTTTACTAAAACCAGAGAGTGTAAAATCTGATACATATCTGCATAGTAACCAATCAGCTTTCAGGTTTTATTGCCAATGCTTAATTGAACACATTGATGTTAGAAGCTGATTGGCTACCATGCACAGATTCTGTCCCCCCCCCCCCCAGTCAATTCTTCCCACAGTCTATAAGTATTTGCAGCATTCTTTGTGACATTGTTATGTTTTGGATTTGTATTGTCCAGTCCAGATCTATGGTGCACACAGTCTATAGTTATGTGCAGCTTTCTTTGTGACTTTGCTATGTAATGGATTTGTATTGGTCAGTACAGACATATGACAAACACTGGAGGGTTATTTATTATGTGGTTCTGGTAAATCTAAAGGAAAATTGTACAAGAAAAATGTATAATGTATGGCCAGCCTAAGTTCAGCTTGTTCAGTAGCTTTGACAATAAAACCTGGAAGCTGATTGGTTTCTATGCAAAGTTGCACCAGATTTTGCACTCTCCAGTTTTAGTAAATAAACCCCATTGCTATGTAATTGCACCTGCTTCTGTCATCCTTATGGCCCTCTTTATTGACACCATACACTGATCACAAGGAGTGTTTGTTATTTTTTGCATTTGTATAGGTCAGTTCAGATCTATGACACACACTGGGGTATTTTACTGGAGAGTGTACAATTTGATGCATATCAGCTTCCAGGTTCTATTGCCAAAACTTACTCGAACAAGCTGAAGTTAGAAGCTGATTGGCTACCATGCACAGTTTCTGTGTGCTACAGTTTTAGTAAATCTCCCCCACAGGCTATAAGTATGTGTGGCATTCTTTGTTACATTGTTATGTACTGGACTTGTATCAGTCAGTCCAGATCTATTGTACAGGCAGGCGGTTGTTTACTAAAACTGCTGAGTGTAAAATCTGATGCATATCTGCATAGTAACCAATCAGCTTCCAGGTTTTATTACCAAAGCTTAATTGAACGCATTGAAGTTAGAAGCTGTTTGGCTGCCATGCACAGTTTTCTGTGTGCCCCAGTTTTAGTAAATCCCCCCCACAGTCTATGAGTATGTGTGGCATTCTTTGTGACATTGTTATGTATTTAATTTGTATTGGTCAGTCCAGATCTATGGCGCACACGGTCTATACTGTAGTTATGTGCAGCTTTCTTTGTGACATTGTTATGTAATGGATTTGTATTGGTCAGTCCAGATCTATGGCGCACACAGTCTATACTGTAGTTTGTGCAGCTTTCTTTGTGACATTGTTATGTAATGGATTTGTATTGGTCAGTGCAGATCTATGGCGCACACAGTCTATACTGGTTATTTGTGGCTTTCTTTGTGACATTGTGATGTATTTAATTTGTATTGGTCAGTACAGATCTATGGCGCACACGGTCTATACTGTAGTTATGTGCAGCTTTCTTTGTGACATTGTTATGTAATGGATTTGTATTGGTCAGTCCAGATCTATGGCGCACACAGTCTATAAGTAGTTATTGGCATTCTTTGTGACATTGTTATGTAATGGATTTGTATTGGTCAGTACGGATCTATGGCGCACCCAGTCTATAGGTATTTGTGGCCTTTCGTTGTGACATTGTTATGTAATTAATTTATATTGGTCAGTCCAGATCTATGGCACACACAGTTAATAGGTAGTTATGTGCAGCTTTCTTTGTGACATTGTTATGTAATGGATTTGTATTGGTCAGTACAGATCTATGGCGCACACAGTCTATAGGTATTTGCGGCTTTCTTTGTGACATTGTTATGTAATGGATTTGTATTGGTCAGTACAGATCTATGGGTCACACAGTCTATAAGTATTTTGGCTTCTTTGTGACATTGTTATGTAGTGGATTTGTATTGGTAAGTACAGATCTATGGCACACACAGTCTATAGGTACTTGCGGCTTTCTTTGTGACATTGTTATGTAATGGATTTGTATTGGTCAGTACGGATCTATGGTACACACAGTCTATAGGTACTTGCGGCTTTCTTTGTGACATTGTTATGTAATGGATTTGTATTGGTCAGTACGGATCTATGGTACACACAGTTAATAGGTACTTGCGGCTTTCTTTGTGACATTGTTATGTAATGGATTTGTAATGGTCAGCACAGATCTATGGCGCACACAGTCTATAGGTACCTGCGGCTTTCTTTGTGACATTGGGGTAGATTTACTAAAAGTGGAGCACTCAGAATCTGGTGCAGCTGTGCATAGTAACCAAGCAGCTTCTATGGCTTGCCATACATTCAATTTCCTTCAGATTCACTTTTGCATGTAGTGCAAGGGCCTGCCTGATTGCATACAAATTGAAAGTGTTTACGTTTCACCCCATATTATATGGTTTTGGTAAATCTAAAGAAAAATTGTACAAGACAATTGTATAATGTATGGCCAGCCTGACATCAGCTTTTTCAATGAAGCTCTGACAATTAAACCTGGAAGCTGATTGGTTTCAATGCAGAGTTACACCAGATTTTTGCACTCTGCGGTTTTTAGTAAATAAAGCCCTTTGTTATGTAGGTGCACCTGCTTCTGTCATCCTGATGGCCCACTTTTGTGACACCATCCACTGATCACAAGGAGTGTCTCCAGCAATGCTGCGGGTAACATCCATTATGGTGTAATTGTCTGAACAGGGCTATAATGGCATTATGGTGTAAGAGCGGGCAGCAGGAATGACCAGAAGCTAATTGTCTTTATGTGAAGATACGGCTAATCTGATTGCAGCTCAGTACAGACCCTGCCCTTTATTGTTGGGTGTGCGGTCTGTGCAGTCATGTTAGGAGGATTAGACGCTCTGATCCACTTGCACAGAACAGTTATTCCTGACAACATTTTAATGAAGAAAGGGCTCATTATTTCATTGGGTGAAATAGAAGAAAGTGTTATAACAGTCAATTCCTTAGGAAGAATATACTGGTGTGTTTTTTGCATATGACAATAATTGAATAATTATCATGTTATTAAAAAAAACACCATGTTGTTGTGCCAAGTCTCATAACCCCCCCCCCTCTCAGACAGCACCACACCCTATTCCAGCACCTAGAAATGTTTAAGATGCACATTACATAGGGCTGATAGCAGCGGAGATCTGTGATTTACACTGGAAGAGTGCCCTTTAACCTCTGTTGTTTGCCTGAAATAGATGTCAGTAGTAAATCTTTGGAGACTGCGGCCTGTCATCATATAGAGATTTTACAGCTTTGGCTAAAGAGCTTAAATACTGGATGTGCTAATTGTATCCAATGAGGACTGCTAGGTGTCATAGGTGGGTTGCTTTTTAACATTGTTTCAATTAGATAGTTTATTATAGAAATCTAATGTTGTGTTTCTGTTAGATCTGTTCACTGAGGTGTAATGCAGGGAGATGGTTGATCATAAAATATGCAGGCCTAGTCAGGATGAGAACATCTCATGTGTGATAAGCATTGATCAGAAGAGCACACATTAATACAGGCTAGTGCCACATTCCTTCACCATAAGTAATGGGACTTTTCTTAGATTGTAAGCTCCCAGGAAAAGGCCCTCCTAACCCTCTTGTATTATTATTATTATACAGGATTTATATAGCCCCAACAGTTTGCTCAGCACTTTACAATATAACGGGAGACAATACAGCAACAATACAGTTCAATACAAGAGGAATAGGAGGGCCCTGCTCCTCGGAGCTTACAATCTAGGAGATTTGAACTGTATATCATTGCTATATTGTCTCCCTTTATTTGTAAAGCACTGACCAAACTGTTGGCGCAATATAAATCCTGTATAATAATAATAATAATTTTCTATAACTGCTTTAATATGAACCCCAGTGTCTTTTTTTCAGCAGGAACGTGTGGGAACACAGTTCTGGCACCTCCAGCACCTCCGTCACTTAAAGTGTTACTAAACCCACAACAGTAAAATCAGTCTGTATATGTAGGAAAGCATGCTTGTTATACTCACTGTGGAACCTAAGGGGTTAATCCTCTGCATTGTGTAAAAAGGCTGTTTGATCCTGACTTCTCTGATCCTCCCCTTATTCCAGTGTTCCACTCTTATCTCCTGATAAGTCATGTGGAGACACTCTGCACATGCTCAGTTTGGTGTGTATTGCTAGTGAGTTGTTTTTTTTTTCTTGTGAGAGTGCATGTGATCAGCATAGGGCCAATCAGCACTATCCAGACAGAGTTCAGGGGATCTCCATCCTTCTAGAGCAAAATGAAAACTCCTCTTTAGCTAGTGCTCTGCTGATCACTGATAGAAGTCAGAAGACTGCTCTAACTGCAGATGAGAAAAGGTATTTAGCAGTTTATATTTACTAAAATAATTGAATTTCCATGTAGTGTGTACTGTGGGAGACCAGATTGAGTGAATGCAGGGTCCTGGGGTTAGTAACACTTTAATATGAGCCCGCAGAGTTTTTTTTCAGTGGGTATGTGGGGGGACGCAGTTCCGGCACCTTCAGCACTTAGTGTATGTAATGGCAAGGGGTGCTGGGATGTGCTGGAAGGTTTATTGATGCTGGCTGCTGTGGGACCTATTGTCACTGGAGAGGTTCTATGTTTGCATGGTAGTCTATTGTTGCTGGGGAATTCCATTGTTGCTGGTGGGGGATTTTTTGTTGCTGGAAAGGATCTACTATTGAGAGAGGGGTTTATTGTTGCTGGCTGCTGGAAAGTCAATTTATGTTGGCTGCTTGGGGATCTGTTGTTGCTGCTGGGGGTCTATTGTTGCTAGGGTGGTATTTTGTGGCTTGGGGGGGGGGGGGTCTATTGCTGCTAGCTGTGGGCGATCTATTTTACTGCTTTTCTTGTACTGATTAACAAATTCCATACAGCGGTACTAGGGGTGGGTAGGGTTGGAACCAAGGGACTGTGCTTGGAGGTTGGTAGGGGGATGGAGACTGAGAGGTGATTCAGAAGGGGGAGTCCTTGCACCTATTTTCTGAAAAAAAAAAAAAGCCCTGAGTGTACACAAGCAGGAAGACTGGGGAATGCAGTTCTGGCACCTCCAGCACTGAATGTATGTAATGGCAAGGGATGCTGGGATGTGCTGGAAGGTCTTATTATGCTGGCTGCTGGGGAATATGTTGTCACTGGAGGGGATCTATTTTTGCATGGTGGTCTATTGTTGCTGGGGAGGTCTATTGTTCCTGGTGTGGGATTTATTGTTGCTGGAAGGTATCTGCTGTTGAGGATCTACTGTCTATTGTTGCTGTCTGCTGGAAAGTCTATTAATGCTGGCTTCTGGGGATCTGTTGTTGCTGCTGGGGTGGTATTGTGTTGCCGGGTCCATTGTTGCCAGAGGAATCTATTGTTGCTGGGAAGGGGATCTATTGCTGTTGACTGCAGGGAATCTATTTTACTGCTTTTTTTGGTATTACCAAATTCCATACAATTGATTTAGCACCACAAAATGATACTTGGTTGTGTATTCTCTAGAAGGAGTGGTACTGGGAGTGGGTAGGGGTGGAACCAAGGGACTGCGCTCGGAGGTGGGTAGGGAACGGAGACAAGAGGTGATTCAGAAGGGGGAGCTCCTTGCACCTATTTTCTGAGAAAAAAAGCCCTGTGAGCCCCCATCCACACCTCAGCAATGTGAAGTTGTTTCGAAAAGCACAGCACCAGACTTCAGTGTTATTCTACTGGCCCATTCACACCTGAGGGATATGCTGTTGCTGCATGGCCAGAAAACAAGTGTTTTTGCCTAAAATATGCTTCAGAGGAAGCAGTTGAAAATACAAAAATACAAACATGGCATGAGGCTGATTTACTAAAACTGGAGAGTGCTAAATCTGGTGCAGCTGTGCATGGTAGCCAATCAGTTAAAGTGACATTAAAGCTTCATTTTTTTTTTTTATTATTTTTTTTAAACAAATCTATATTTACCTGCTCTGTGCAGTGTTTTTGCATAGAGCAGCCCTGATCCTCTTCTTTTTAGGTCCCCACTGGCACTCTTAGCTCTTCCCCCTCGAGCAGTGCCCCCAGGGAAAATAATTCGCCCTGGGTCACAGCTGTGTGCTCATGCCCGAGCCACTGCTCTATGCGTCCATAGGACATATAGATCCGCCCTCAGCCCCACCCCACTGCTCTCTCCTCACTGGCTGTGATTGCCACCAATGGGCTCCCGCTGCTGTCTCAGCCAATGAGGAGGAAGAGTCCTCAGACAGCAGAGGCTTTCGAGAATGTCGCTGGATCATAGGGGGCCCAGGTAAGTGTTAGGGAGGGCTGGAGGGATGCTGCACACAGAAGGATTTTCACCTTCATGCATAGAATACATGAAGGTAAAAAACCTTGGGCCTTTACAACCACTTTAAAGTGTTACTAACCCCAGGACCCTGCATTCACTATATCTGGTCTCCCACAGTACACACAACATGGAAATGCAATTATTTTAGTAAATTTAAACTGATAAATACCTTTTCTCATCAGCTGTTAGAGCAGTCTTGTGACTTCTATCAGTGTCCAGGAGAGCACTGGTTAAAGCTTGTAGGAGTAGTTTTCATTCTGCTCTAGAAGGATGGAGATCCCCTGAACTCTGTCTGGACAGTGCTGATTGGCCCTGTGCTGATCACATGCACTCTCCCAAGAAAACAAATCTCTAGCAATACACTTTCCCAATTTCTTGAGATAATTAAATCACATGACACAGTTTTCCCAATGATCTTATGAGATGCTGAAAATGTCAATTCACTATCACCTTATGAGTTATTTACCTCACAAACCAAAAACATGAAGTACATAACTCATAACACAGCGTTAAAGTCAATTCGCTAAAGAAAATAAATAAATAATGCATGAGTTAAATAAATAGTGGTCAGGCATGTGGTATTTAAGGAATGTCAAAATACACTGATCAACAAATGAAAGGAACACTTTGAAAACAAATCAGATCTCAATGTGGAAAATATCATGCTGGATATCTATACTGATATGGACTGGGTAATGTGTTAGAAACCTAAGGATGCCCCATTGTGTGATGGAAATGAAAATTATAAACCTACAGAGGACTGAATTCAAGGACACCCCAAAAATCAAAGTGAAAAAGATGATGCAGCAGGCTAGTCCATTTTGCTGAAATTTCATTGCAGCAACTCAAAATGGTATTCAGTAGTTTGTATGGCCCCCACATGCTTGTATGAATGCCTGACAACTTTGGGGCATGCTCCTAATGAGACAACAGATGGTATCCTGGAGTATTTCCTCCCAGATCAGGACCAGGGCATCACTGAGCTCCTGGACAGTCTGAGGTGCAACCTGGCGGCATTGGATGGACCAAAACATGATATTCCAAAGGTGTTCTATTGGATATAGGTCAGGCGAGCGTGGGGGCCATTCAATGGTATCAATTTCTTCATTCTCCAGGAACTGTCTGAATACTCTCGCCACATGAGGCTGGGTATTGTTGTGCACCAGGAGAAACCCAGGACCCACTGCACCAGCGTAGGGTCTGACAATGGGTCCACAGATTTCATCCTAATACCTAATGGCAGTCAGGGTGCCACTGTCTAGCCTGTAGAGGTCTGTGTGTCCCTCCATGGATATGCCTCCTCTGACCCACCACCAAAACGGTCATGCTGAATGATGTTACAGGCAGCATAACATTCTCCATGACTTCTCCAGACCCTTTCATGTCTGCCACGTGTGCTCAGGGTGAACCTGCTCTCATCTGTGAAAAGAACAGGGCACCAGTGGCAGATTCGTCAATTTTGGTGTTCAATGGCAAATGCCAATAGAGCTGTATGGTGCCAGACAGTGAACACAGGGCCCACTAAAGGAAGTCAGGCCCTCAGGCCACCCTCATGAAGTCTGTTTCTGATTGTTTGGTCAGAGAAATTCACACCAGTGGCCTGCTGGAGGTAATTTTGTAGGGCTCTGGCAGTGCTCATCCTGTTCCTACTTACACAGAAGAGCAATTACCGGTCCTGCTGATGGGTTAAGAGCCTTCTACGATCCTGTCCAGCTCTCCTAGAGTAACTGCCTGTCTCCTGGAATCTCCTCCATGCTCTTGAGATTGTGCTGGGAGACAGAACAAACCTTCTGGCAATGGCACGTACTGATGTCCCATCCTGGAGGAGTTGGACTATCTGTGCAACCTCTGTAGGGTCCAGGTATCGCCTCATGCTACCAGTAGTGACACTGACCCTAGGCCAAATGGAAAACTAGTGAAAAACAGTCAGAAAAGATGAGTAGGGAAAAAATGTCAGTGGCCTCCACCTGTAAAACCATTCCTGTTTTGGGGTCCTTTTCATTGTTGCAATCTAGTGCACCAAAACATCTGAAACTGATTAACAACCCTCTCCACTACTTAATTGACCAGATCAATATCCCAGGAGTTTAATTGACTTGATGCTATACTCTGACTAAAAAGTGTTCCTTTAATTTTTTTGAGCGGTGTAAAAATCCAGATTTAACCCACCAGAATCCATCTATAACAAATAAAATTTTGTATGGAATGACCTTTTAAATCAATATTTACTAATCTAAGTGATAAGAGTTTAACTATATTTTCTGTAGTTTTATGGACTTGGCTCCTCTTCCAAAGTCCAGTTAGATTCAAGGAAGATGAAAGAAGAAGAAAGAATTTTTTCCTATACGATTTGTTATCAGCTTATGTAAAAACAATCCTTCATGGTACAGTTTTTTTTTAATTATTTGATTGCTCATTGGTAATTGAGAAATGTATTCTGCATAGTGGTAGAGCACTTCTTTATTTAAAGCCCATCTTTGGGGATTATGATTAGGGAATTGAGCAATTTTGAAAAGAAATTTGAATCATCTATGGCTTGCCTTAGTCTCTTGTTTATATCTGGGGGCACGAAAAGCACTTTTACTTACTTGATCCTTCACTTCCCTGGCAACCTGCTCTCTCCTTTACTTCCAGACGCTCTGGCAGTGGACTGTCCCACAGGGGTTTATTTACTAAAGCTGGAGAGTCCAAAATCAGACTCCCTTCTCCATAGAAACCAATCAGCTTCTAACCTCAGCTTGTTCAATGAAGCTTTGGCAATGAAACCTGGAAGCTGATTGGTTTCTATGCAGAAGGGAGTCTGATTTTGGACTCTCCAGCTTTAGTAAATAAACCCCACAGTGTCCTCTCAGTCAGTGCAGCAAAATGAGCTTTGAATTGGTCTTGATGACATAGGGGGGCATCTGACTTCTGAAACGTAGGGGAGAAGAGGCTGCGGAGACCAGTCTTGCAACCAAGAGGAGCCTACAGGATTGGAGGATTACGGTCCCCTAGACCTAAACAAGTATTTAAAGTGGTTGTAAACCTTAAAAAGTATTTTTCTAAAATAAAACAGATGTTATACTTACCTGCTTTGTGCAATAGTATTGCACATAGCGGCCCTGATCCTCCTCTTCTGGGGTTCC